ATTAGTATTCATCACAGATCTTACATTTCATGTTTTAGCTTTGAGTTTTTAACCAAAAACAAGGCAGCTTTTTAGCACTGATACAATTTGAAATCATTGTGACCAGACATCTTGATGTAACTGTGACATCTTCCTGACTTGCTGCTCTGTATCTATATAAGTTATCCGGGAGAGAATATAAAATAATTAAGTTTTAGAAATGATACAGAAATAGTATAACAATAGTATGAATTCATTATTGCTGTACCCTTTAAAAATGTATTTGTACATAAAAATTCAAACTCTCATATTTGAGTAACTAAAAATGTAAATTATGCTCACAAATAGGAAGGACAGCATTTAAAAAATCCCAAAGCCCAGAGACTCTGGGAAGAGGGTATGATGAGTGAATAATTGTTTAGGAGTGATTATGTTAAAAACAGCTAGTGAATGGGATGTCAGACAAGAGGTAAACAGAGTTAGGGGTAGGAAGCTATGCTTTATGATGATGTTGTAATAATGAACCTGTTTCTGCTGCCAGTGCTTGTCTTATAACAATGCTAAAATTGAGAAGGCTTCAGAAAAAACTGATATTTCAGAAAAGGTAAAAAAAAAAAAGTAAATGAATGCATGAGAATTGTTAGCATCTTTACTGTTAGCTTGTGTCTATGGGGGAAATGTCCAATAGAAAATGGTCTTTATTGGGCATAAGCATAAGATTGCATCCTAAAGCTAGGTAAGTTGCAGCTGAAATGAAAGTAAAGTTCAGATTGTTAGCAGTGAGGCTAACTAACCATTGAGAAACTTTAGAAAGATACTGGATTCTATATGTCCTGAGGTTTTAAAAATGAGGTTAGCTGTCTCCCTTTTGAAAAAAACTAAACAAGACCCAACCAAAATAGAAAAAAAACCCAACACAAATAGCAACTACTTAGTATGTTTATGAAAAAATGATTGAATAATGTAGAAATGGTTGCTATTCTGAAAACTAGGAGAGAAGCACTGAATATTCAATTTTATTTTGACTCAGTAAATGTAAATTTTTGCAACAAAATTTAATTTTAGGTGTGAAAACCTATTAATGGGAAACCTACTGGACTCATATTTTGATGACCAGATTTTATCTTGTTGAGAGTAGATTCTAAAATGAAAATATTAGATTAATTCAAGAAAACCCTTAACTCTTTCAGATGTATCTCTCTCTTAAGAACAGTTCATAGGTTACTTTTCATAGACCTTGCTCTCCCATCCTATAAACAGAGTAGTGGTCTTTTTCCATTAAATGTTCAGAAGAAATTGGGTAGACAAAGATTCACTTAAAAGTGAAATTTCACAGTGTGAAATTTCCAGTCCCACTTGATGCTGTAATTTAATACACCGGAACTTGAAACCAAGCCTAATTTTTAGCAAGGGGTTGGTTTTATGTATGGCTGACACTTAAGTCTTTTCAGTAGGTATGGGATCCTTGTAAATCTTAATATTTTTGTTCAGCAAAGCATCTGAAATAATGAAAACCTTTCAGGTTCTTAATTACATCTAAGCTATGCAACAATATACAATGTATAATTAATAAAAAAGTATTGTTGGATTTATTCTGACTACATGTTAAAGGACCTGTACAAGTCTCAAACGAAGACTTCACATTAACATACTCTTAGTTAGAATTTCTTTCATCCAGATCTTTGTCTGTTCAGCATTAACACTTAATTTTTTTTTCTAAGTTCACTTTCAGCGACCATTTATGGACCTTCCTAAATTGCTCACTCAAGTCAAAGACAACATAGTAATTCTGTGGCTGTCCTTCAGGGTATATGCAGTATCAGATGAGGCAGACAACTGACATATTTCTCCTTTGGCTGTTCATGTATGATGTCTGGCCATACACATTCCCCCCTTCCCTTTGGAGACACTGGACTATCAAAGCTGATGCACACCACGTTGGGTATGGACAGTACTTCTCAGCCTTCCTTTCTCAAACTTCCTCCCTGCATTAAACCTTTGAATAGCCATAGCCTGATAGATTAGGCAAGTGGGAGATGAGGTTGAATCAACTCACAAGAGTGCTGAAGGCAGTTCTCTCACATACTAGATGAATGCTTTGATCACACGCCTTACAATGTAAAAAATGGACACTACCTTTTTAAAGCAAGAATGCTTATTTGCATCAGGTAGTACATGCCAAAGGGACAGGAGATGCTTCCTTGCGGCCCCAAAAGAAGTATCTAAGGATGGGAATCAATGCTACTATCTTTGGTATCATCCTTATGGGTTAGCTTAAGCAGCTGGCCTCTCACTGTGCTGGCACGGGGCAGCTCCCTGCTTTGCCGCTCGCTGGGCAGTAGCCCAGGCAGAGGGGCTCAGCTGTCCTCTGGGAGCAGAGGTGCTGCCTTGTTTGGGGCGCGGGGTTCCCCTCCAGGGAGCTGGAAGTGTTATGGAAGCTGACTTTCAGGCATCTTAACTCTTCTGTTGGAACTGGCCTTCTGATATGAAAAGAGTGTGTGTGTGTGTATGTATATATAAATACAATGTATTTCGACCATGGCATACATAAACATTCTGCATTTAAATACAGGAGTTGTACCACTGGCATGTGGGAAACTGCTGAGGAAGAAGTAATTATTTTCGGTTGTGTGTTTCACTGTTGACAAGCACAGCACCATTACAGTTCCAGACAGCCAGTGAGTTTCTAGTCATGTAAACTTTGGCATACTTTCAATATGCCTTTTAGTCTTATATATATTGTGTCAACACTTTCAATGTTTCAGAACTGCGTATGCTAAGATTAGAGTGATTTTATACTAAAATGTGTGCTAATGTTGATAACACTGACATGTTTGAGTATCTTTATAGACATCATATTTTGTATGTTGTTTTTGATATTAAAGAATATACATTTTGCTAGCCTTAACTCCATTCTTTAAAGTTCTGCTTTGTTAGAAGGGTAAGAAATGAATGTCCAATGTTTTCCATGGTGCTAAAGTAACTGTGATCAGTCTCAAATTATTCAGAATAAAGATGGTAGTTCTTAAGTGCCCTATTTGTTACTGCATGCATCATTTTTAGTCTTGTTCTCCTGTAAAACTTGTCATATTTTAAAAGTAATTTTGTGTTAGATTCTGATAACTGTTGAATCACATAAAAGACTACAGCTTTTATTATCACTGTCCTCTGATTGGAATGTCCCTATTACATTTGCTCCTAAATTAATATAGGGTGCAAACCATTTCATTCTGATTGCCTTGACGATCCATTTTAAGACCAATGGCTTATAAACTTAAAACTACTGGTTTTGAGTTACATGCTCTGGAAAATATCTACTGTATTTTCCATTCTGGGGTTTAATATCAAACTTGCAGAATGGTTGCACTCACAAAAGGCAGAAGTAAAATTATGGGAGGGAGGGAAACTGCGTTGGAATAAACCTGAGTGGTGTTATAGAACTCTGTGTATTTTTCTTCATGAACTGCCAGTGTAATTCAGTGGACCTTTGATCATTTACTGGCCTACTACCAACTTCACCTTGATTTACCTTGGCAGTATGAAGCGTTTCCTCATTGACAGCTTCAGTAAATCACAGGAGTTCATTCACCTTTCCTTTGTAGTAGGGCCAAATATTTCCTTTTCTTTAATAAATGTATGTGATGATAAGGGGAAAACATTCCCATTCTACTTGGGGTTATTCTCTAGACTGCTTGTATTTCAAATTAAAATTTGAAAAAGATGCCCCAAATCTTTATAGGAGCCTGAGTGCCGTTGCCATTTGTATACCCTCAAGGTACAAAACCTCTTTGTAAGTATGTAAAACAAAAATGAGGAGGAGCCTATGGAATACATTTCAAATACTTTTGTGCCTTTTTCAGGAAGCTATTTTTATACCAGCATTTATCATGAAAGTTAATTAACAAGGCAAAATACTAACGTCTAGAAATGCAGTTTGACTTTATATATGATTTTCAGAAAAGAAATACTGTTATTTTATACTTCAAATTAGTTGATTTGGAATACTCTCTACCGATGACCCTATGAACAGAAGCCCAGCAGCGTGCTGGAGATACCTGACAGTAAGACTTTGCACTCCTTGCAAAGGTATTAATGTGGTTATGAACAATCAGATTTACATGTTATCTTGTCTGGTTATTCATTGTAGCTAGATTTTTTTTTTTTAATGTATACATCCATTCCCTCAGGTTATCCTTAATTAGAGCTGTACCTGCAACATGCTAACTGGTGCCAGGAGAAACAGGATTAGGTTGCTGCAATGTACATGCAATGGCTGTTATATTCTAGCGCGTGTTTCTGTTCTGAACCACTCGGAAAACAATTCCAAGTTGGATTTTTTTTGTTTTATCTTTGAGTTGTTCGTGAGGCTTAAAAATAACAAGTACGCAGAAAGTCAAAGCCTTTCTGTCAAAGCCCTCTGTAGAGGGTAGCACCTCTGTAATGATGTGAAACGCTCCAAAAAGCTGGTGAACTGCTCCTGGCAAGTAGCAGAAATTTATACAAGAGTGTTTTAATATAAGCTGAGAGCAGACCCAACAACTGTGTGTCTCTTGGCAAGCTTCGCATGCATAACGTGCCACAGGCAATTGTAGAAGACAAAGACCTTCTATGCTAAGTTGTCTGAAAGGCCCACTATGAGTTTTGTGCCAACACTGATTAAAAACAAAGCAAAAAAGACGACAAAAAAGGCACCTGCTTTGTGTCTGACCCGCTGCATGCAAGGCATATTACTTATAAAAGGGGATCCGAAAGAAGTATAATTTTTTAGATCTATTTAAAAACTTTATTATTATAGTTTTGTGCAGTGAGGCCTGCATATAACCCCCAGTTTCTGGTTTCACAAGGGCACACTTAATTAATTGGTTCCTCAATATTATAATGAAAGCAGCTATGGCACAGGGCTGTAGCCATTTGCAGTGTGCAAGTTCAGGTGCTAATTGCCCCAGTAACACCAGTCCTAAACACCCGGCGGCAGGCGCTGGGAAAACTCTTCAAGATAAGGTTAACACTGGGGCTGAGGCATGCCAAACCGCCGCCATCTTGTCCACGGGCCCGTCTCCGCGGCAACGGCTGTGGGCGGGGCCTCCGGCGGCGCGAAGCACGCCGGGAAATGTAGTCCCCGCCCCCTCCCCGCACCGTCGCGCGAAGGGGCGGGGCCGGCGGTC